ATCCATCCATCCATCCATCCATCCATCCATCCATCCATCCATCCATCCATCCATCCATCCATCCATCCCTTAAATGTCAGAGTAAAGGCTAAGAAAGTGAGGTTCACATTGGGAGTACAGTAGCTGTATTTGAGACAAATCTAGTTCATTAGGATTGGAGAGGGGTGCTATTAAATGTCTGACTTTAWGAAAATTTGACATTCCCTTAACTGATTTTTACTGTATGTTGACAACAAAAAATAAAAAATGTGTTCCAGGGAAACTGTAAGAAAAATAACTGAATGCATTTATTGTGTTTACACTCCAATCTCCAGTGCTGTTTCTGACAGAAAAAAAAAATATATATATATTTGTTTGATGTGCTCGATCCAATGCACATGAATACATTTCCATTTTCAGGTAGGGCTTTGACTGGGAGTCAAATCCAGGTCACCTGATTGTGGTTGTGATTCTTTATGGAAATTGGCTTCTTTGCTCTGGAGAGAGCATGTCAAGCACAGGAGAGAAAAAAAGAAAATAAGTAAGAAAAAAAGTGATGCTTTGATCTTGTTATTAGCGACAACAGAACATGACTTAACCTGATTTTCTTGGTGCCATGAAGGCAGACAAAAAAAATCTGTTTGTACTCATATTGTAAAATAGAGAGAGAGAGAAAAAGAATGACCTGCTGAACATAATACTGACTTTGTGGTAAATGATTATGTCACAATTTTTGTTTGCTTGTATTATTTAAGTTTCTTAATGATTTAATGTAAAATGTCTAATGTTAACCTAATGTTAAAAATTTCTTCATTTTTCAGCTAAAAGACAATTTCCATGACTTTCTGGCTATTTCCGTATGTAGAATCTCTGAAAAAAAAAACCTTTTGGGGTTTCCCTCTATTATCCACTGATCCRGGGTTAAATTTCCTCTAGTTGTTGTTTGATACAGAGGCTGATGTTTTCTACGAGTTTGCTCTCCTTTCTGTTGAGCTTGGACACTTTAAAGACATTCCTACTCATCACAAGATTAAACAACAACCATGTTTCCTCCTGATACCGCCATTTGGAAAACAGAAAAAGGACCGACTTTTGAAAAGTGCACTAGATTGGTAAAGCATTTACCGAACTGTATTCCACAGCATGAAATGAACTAATCTAAATTCAAGGTCCAAGAGCACATTTAACAACTACTGAAAAAACTTCAAAACTGCTTTTGAGGTGCATGTGCAGAAATTAATGACTGTTTCCTTTCTGGGCTGTGCAAAAGCACTGCTTGTCTGTTTCACAGATTTCAGGTAATTTTCATGTTGGTGTGTTTGGGTGCAAGAGTGTGCCTAAAACTACGTGGTTTCATTAAAAAATAATCACCCTTCTCTTTTAGGCAATGAGGCAGAAGACAGGCATTTGAAACAACATCTGTTCGACTGAGCCTTTGAAGTGAAAATAGAATAAACCGATGACGAAGCTAATGAAATGACAGAAGAAGAACAAAGAAAAAAAAATAGAAAAAATGAAAGCTAAATAATCTCCAGGAAATTTCACATGTACTCATATGGAGGAAAAAAGTAATGACATACAAGCTCAAAGCAGCATGCAATCAACCAGGAGAGGAAGGAGCGCATGCTTTCATTTTTAAAAMTGTATTTCTTCTGCAGTTATTGTGTTTGTGAGCTCCAGCACACACAGCAGAGGGCTGAGAGACAAGCATGAAATTTCCATCAATCTGGAAAGAATCTACTTGATAAATTATTGAAGAAGGCTCATTATAATACAGTTTATAAATCTAAAAGCAGTAAATACCATCTGTTTTCTCAGTGTTAACACCTTTTAGATGATTAGGCAGAAAATCTATTGATGACACTTGTTTTATTTGATTCGAAAGGAATCTGTAAATAAGAGAATGTTACTAATTGTTAACTTTAGAAGCTAAGTGAATGAATAAATGAATCAACAAATACAAATAAAACTGAATCACAAGCCACAATTTATAAGGATATTTAAGTTAATTATGTTTTTGGCTAATTTGAACAACCTTGTCCTAACCTTTGTATCAAAAACTATTTCTTGCCTGAAAGGTGGGTAAATATGTAAATACTTATGTCTGTGTGTTTCTCTTTGTGAGTGATTTCCATTGTGATTTACCAAATTTGCCATCATCCATTTAATAAGTCATGCAGGTCGAGGAGAGCAGAACAAAGTCGTCAKCATACATGAATGTGGCGAAACCATGAACAAAATTTTTGTTTTAAAATACACCCAACCAAACTGTTAGCCAGATGTCAACCAGTCCCTAATAAAAGTTGATAACGTGCATAATCTCAGTCTCCTGGGTAAAAGTCTTGAAAACATTTTCTGTCAACATATTGTTATGTTTTAATAATCCCAAGAATTTGGTAAAATATTCTTCAAATAGCTGGAAAATGCAGTTTTATGTAGATCTTTTACAACATTTTCCAGGAGATTTTACTCTTGGACACCCCCTAGAACTGCTTCACTCCACAGCTGCTAGTTAACACGAATAGGTGTTCCTTAGTTATCAGCCTATGTTGGCACGTATGATGTAGACTTCTGTTATTCTGTTTTAAATGAACTGTGTGTTAATTATTTTAATTGAACAACACATTTTCTAAAAATAAAAACATCAAAGACAAAATTATTTCAATTGGTATGTAAACTGGCTGTGAGATTTAGAAAACTGCACAAGGGGCATCACCTGACATCTTGCCTGGGGCGCTACATTGGCTAGGGCCAGCCCTGTRCAGCAGTACATACTGACCAGCTACAACCCAGATTCACATTGATGTAAACAAAAAAATCTACATATTTGTAATATTTTGCACTGCATCTCTACAACAAATAAACCAGGTAAGACCAAAATGTCCTGTACAGAGCAAAAAGGTCTCATGTATTTTGTCCACAGCTTACTAATTTAGTAGCAAAAAAAAAATTAAATAAAAATAAATAAATTGAACTACAGTGTCAGCCTTCACTTGCTCATCCCATCAGCRTTTCTGTTGTCTGAGAGAGAACGAGATGGCAGGGATGGTAAGTGAAGAGAGGGAGATATGGGGTGGAGGAGATGAGGGAGGGGGGGGTTGAGGGGGTGGTAGCAGTAATTCTGAATGGACAGCACTGCACTGGCAAGACAAGATTAGAATTGACAGCCTGATAACTGCATCACTATCAAAACAGCAGAGGGGAAAGAGAGAAATAGAGTGAGCGAGGGAAAAATGAGGAAGTGAAAACGACTGAGAGAGGAGTGGAAAAAAAAGTGAGATGAAACGAAGAAGAGACAGAGTTAATGTAAAGAAGACATAAAACCGGGGAGGGGTTGATTTAGAAAGAAGAGGACAGATAACAACAACGAGGCTGATGCAGACATAAAGAGCAGCGGAGAGGTTAAGAGAAATAAAAATTGCACAATAAAAGCAGGTAATAATAGTTTGAGAGAGTGCAAAAGTGTTTTGCTCAAGACCAATGTTTTTATTATATGCATCATCACTATCATCATTACTGATAAGCAATGTGAGGGGTGCTTTGTGGCGTATTGATTTCCAAAGGCCATAAAAAGGCAGGGACTACTTTGAGGTGATGCGTGGATACACAGTGATGTTTCATTACAACCAAAACACCCTGCAGAAACTCAACACAATGCTACACCCAAACAGCATGCATCTACTTTTCTACTGTACACATTGTTTAGGGAATTTTAGGACAAAAAATTGTAAAATGAGGGATCCACACAGAAGAATTATTAAAGCATAAACAGAACCTCCTTGATATTTATTTTTTTCCCATGCAGATGTTTTCTATGTAATACACAAAAGCAATAACAGCTAACTGTGAAACTAAAACTCCTAAAAATATGGATTTACTGAAATGATTTCAAACTTTGGTGGTGAAGTTTTTGGAGAAATAAGAAAGTGTAAAGTTTTAAGGCYCCTCCCTGTAGCTCAGTCCGAAGCTGAGCTCCCGCCCCACAGAGCACCCCTTCCCCTGAAGACACGCTGAAATGGTAGGAGGTTTTTAAAGAGAGAGGCCAATCTCAAGCTGTTTAGATAATACTGTATATGAAGTCAAATAGATTTTTGATATTTTCAGCATTTTCATAACAACTGAAGGTAACATAGTTACTTGACTGTGGTATATAATGGAACTATGTGCTTGGAAAATACAGATACAGTACCTCCRCCCCGTTTAAAATGGCAACAGTTGTTGTTTTTGGTTTCTTAAAAGCAGCAAACAAACAAACACAGAAAAAAAAAAACAAAGCTAGGTACTTGATGCATTTAAATACAAACTATATAGCATACATCTACCGGTAATCAAAGTATTCAACATAGTTTTCTATACAATGCACTACACAATTTGTTAATAAAAACAAAAAAACTGTGGCTATTCATTTAGTTGGATAAACAGAATGTTACAGTTAACATTATAATGCATTATTAAATCTTTAACCCTGACTGCATACACATATGTCAGAAATAAAGCAGCTTAATTATCCAATTCTTCCCCTCTCTCGTTCATCTGATGAATCTGAGTCCAATCTTCTCTCTGCCTTTAGCGTCTCACCTTCTGCTCGGGGAAATATCTGTCTGTTAAGCAGTTAAATATTCCATTATTTTCACCAGCTGCTTTCTAACCTTGTCTRTGTGCCTTCTGGAGGTGGGCAGA